CAACAAGGCTCAAGATCCATTTTCCACACCGCTCCCATCCCCCTTCCCTTCCCCTTCAACCTCGAAGGAATCACAACCGCCACCCTCCTCACCTCCTCCTGGGCACTCCTCCTCGCCCGCCGTCTCCAAACTCAAGACATCACCTTCGCAACCGTCACGTCGGGCCGAACCCTCTCTTCCCTCCCCAGCCCAGATTCTATCGTCGGCGCCTGCTACCAGCTCACGCCCACCCGGGTCCAAATCCAACCCAGCTGGCAGGCAATGGACTTCCTGCGCGCCGTGCAATCGCAGGCTGCGGAATCTGCCGAGTATGATTTCCTGGGTCTAGACAAGATCGGCAATGCTCTGAACTGGGATAAGAGTGTTGGGTCTGTGGTTCATCATCAGGACTGGGATGATTTCGATGAGATGCCGTTTGCGGGAGGCAAGTGCAAGGTTGATATCTTGAATCCGGATGGTGATGCGGCGGATCAGATGAAGGTCGTTTCGTTTGTTAAGGAAGGTGTCATGCATGTTGGTGTTGTTGGTTGGGAGGGAGAGGAGACTGTTGTGGATGAGGTTTTGAATGAGTTGGTTGGTGTTGTTGGGGAACTGGTGGGTGGTGGTGAGGTGAGGGTTTGATGTGTTTGTTATTTGCGTTTGTTTGAATGTTGCATAGTATATCAGTTAGATTAGAGTTTGTGTCTTTAGCAAAGTAGCTACGATAATAAAATGGCTTTATTATTTGGATTATTGTTCTAGCCCGTAATATGGAGACGAGAGGAAGAGGTTACGTAGTAAGTATACGATGCGGCCATTTACGAGGTCGGTAAGTTATATACTTCTATGCTCAACTGTAGCGTTCAGCCTCGTTGACGAACTGTCACTCGAGTTCCACTGATAATATATACACCCCCCCCCCCCCCCCCTTAAAACCCCCCAGGCCTCTAACGAACTATTCGACTGTCCTAAGCTATGTCAAAAGACCCGTCCTGACAGGGCATATAGTCCCACAATTAGAGCAGGCTTTTGCAATAGAATCAGTCGACGTCCACCTTCCACAACGCTGACGCATCGAATATCGTCTCCTCCATCCAACATCCCAACTCTTCCAACCCCAACACCTCTCTCAAGTACCGTCTTGCCAGCTCTCTCTGTCCGTTCGCCCGGCCCAGGTAAAACACTGCATCTTCCGCCGGGTTCGCATGTGCGGCCCGAATCTGCTGCGGCAAGTGCTCCATCAAAATCAACAGCCAGCGCCCAAATGCGTTATTCAAGCCCACAGCCCATTCTGTAATCTCCGAATCATCGGCCGGAACAGACTCCGCACTAGCACGCACAAGAAGCTGGAAGAACGTCGTGTCATGCCGGGCGAACCGGACAGCCGTGCGAAAATGTTCTGCGGGGAGGACGTAAGGGACAGCAGTAGTTGGATTGAGGGACTGGTTCTCGCTGCGGAAGTGGTATTCATCGATCTTGAGGAGGGTGGATAAGGCCGCTGAGTTGTTTTCGATGAGGGCATTATGGATGCCGATTTGCAGGGATTCATGGGACACAGAGACAGTCGGTTTGACGAGGTCGGCGCGGTTCAAACCGCTGGCTATGCGGAGGAGTTCGAGGTAGGTGACGTGATCGGGGGTAGAGAGGTCTTCGACGAGTTTATCGGGGATAAGAAGAACGCCTAGGACGGGGTAGGTCGTTGATTGGTTGGTTTCATGGTGGGTGATTGTTACTGAAACTAGGGGTGCTACAGTAAGGGTGTAGTGATTGGCTCCGTTGGTGTCTATTCCTTCGAAGACGCGATTGTCTGCTTTCTGAGCGAGGAATCGGGTCAATGATTCTTGATCATGTGGGGCCATGCTGATTCCTGCACCGAACCAGTGCCTTTGAATGGTGAGGTTCATAAGGTCCGGCAGCTGCGCTAGAAGCCGCTGTATCGTGCACCATTTACAGCGAAGGATGGTGTCCTGGAGGTGTCTCCGTTCCGCATGGCTGAGAGGGTGGTAATCGACTGGTCGGAGGATCCTGGATATTGCGGCCTCTGAGGCCTGATTTATTACCCCTGTAGTAGCAGACGAGTCATCCCAAAACGCCAACAGGATCAACGCTCTGTATATGCGCTCACTCGAAACGGTTGCGCTTAGGGCTGAGGAACAGCGAGCGAAGTTCACATTGAGAGAGTATAGGAAGATCTTTTCAATCAACTCGACGGGGAGAGACTCCAGGATCGATTGCCGGGGTTTGGTGGGCTTGACGACGAGTAGACGAGCTCGTTTGTGGCTTCGCGCCTGAGATGATTCGAGCTTTGTCTGGTGAGATATCATGGGTCGCCCACCCTTGGGTCCAGTGGGTTTTGGTTTGGGGGCTCCATCATCAGGGTATTTTCTCCTGCGACCGCGAACCCGTATGGGCGTGAGCATACCCGGCTAAGTATTTTCAGCTGGACTGCTTGGTGTGCTTCATCCATCCATATTTAGTGAATTGCTTAAGCATGGAAGAGAGCGTGGAAAGTCGAGGCATCGGAAATTGTTCTGGAAGAGGCCCCGGTCCTACTTTGATCCGACTATTCCCCTCCCGAAGTAAGATAAATACTCCGTGCAGGTACCGCCTTATGGCTTCAAGCTACAATTGGGCATGATCCGTAAGCTTCTCCCTCTATTATCTGCACATCGAGTACATGGTATCCGGCTATCCATCTCTTCTATGGATTGATTTTTAGCGGCTCGGTGCGATGATATAATTGGGCAGGAATGCTCGTTGACACACTAGCTACCGGTGCCAAGGGACGGCACTGCAAAAAGTGACTGGTATCACACATGGATGGCAACTCAGGGACCACTGGGCTGCGATGAAAGTAACCAGAGAGGTCAGGGAGAAGAAGAGAGTATATTCTGGACGTGATCACATGGCTTCACCACCAAGATTGAATGTACAAGTTTGAGATAAGGGTAGTAGAATACATCGCTGGTGAAGGTTACGGGGGGTGACGAATAGCTCGAGGCGTGTGTCAGGAAGATCCAATATGCCAGAGGAAAGAGAGTAGGGTAGCCCCTAGGTCATCCCATCACAGCCCGTCGCAATATCGTTGCTTCAAGACAACGAAGCGCCTGCACCTAATTCAGCGGCTCGAACAGGTCAAAACGTCCGCAATGAATTTAATGGTTACTGACTCACTGATATGTTGCCGCGTAGGCTGGTGTAGTGGTTGACGACGCCACATTTCGACCCCCAATAAGAAGGCAGTGACATTACGTCCGCATGCTGGTGGATATTGGTCTTGATCAGCCCCGTCAACACAATCCTCCCAATCTGATTCGCATCCATCAGTTCAATCATTTCTTCTTCTTTTCAAGATCCTTGATAAGCCTTAAGACATCCTCCGCATCAGAACTAAGTTCTAGGCGGTTGTAAAGATCCTTGGCCTCATAATAATACTTCAGTGCCTCCTCTGGTTTATTATGGAACACTGCCAACTGTCCCAGCATAACCTTAGCCGACGCACAGCTGTGATCGCACTCCGCAGAATCTTCGGAGGGTTCGACCTTCTCAGCCCTCTCAATCGCGCCCTGAGCCCACTTGCGTGCGGCCTCGATAGCCTCAGCACGCGAAACACCGGGGTCCGACGATGGTGCGACACCGTCTAGAGCTGGGTAGCCGATACAGCCACTGATGTTGTACATGAGGGTGACCTGCTTGCATGATGGAACTCCGCCTTCATTGGCATTGATGAGGTCAAAGGCGCGCAGATACAGCGGCAACGAAAGGTCCAACTTCCCCTTGGAGGCATAGTGTTGGCCCAACTCGGATAGAGCAGTTCCGATCTCCGTTAGAGTCAACCAGTTGCCACCGCCGATGGGGACCTTGGCTTGGTGTCGACGTTGCACTTCGCCGAGAGATAGTTGAACGGCAAATTCGAGCGCCTCTTCGGCCTTTTTGTCATCCTGGACATAATCACTCTTATATAGTTCCGCGAGCTTTACGGACATACCCACAACCTTGGCGAGAGTCTTCTCTACTTGTTCATACTCATAGATCTCCGCCTGCTTCATCTTCTCGTATGACTCTGCAATGGCGGGGTCAACCTTCATTGGCTCAGCGGCCAATTCGCCTTTCTCTGCGGAGGGCCCGCGGGCAAAGAAATAATCGCTTTCCCCCCTTTTGAATGCTTCTGTTTCCATATTCGTCTTCACCCAGTGATATGCATCTGCTCGTGTCTTTTCCAAGACTTGGATAGCAGCTGGCACTAGCCCCGCCATCTCTAGACACTTGGTTACCTGCAACCTGATTCCCATCACTTCGTCCGAGTAAGGGTGCATTTGCAGTTCCGCTGCTAACTTGATTGCCTCGCTGTATGCGTCGATAGCCTTGACGGGATTCAGCTTCACGTCGGTATAGTAGATTGCCGTACGGAGACGTTCTGCAACCGGTGGCGGGAACTTGTGGTATTGCGGGCCGACTTCTGTGGCTTCCTTGTAGGCAATGTAGCTAAAGATAGCGGTTGCGGTGGCGACGGAGAGGAGTGCGAGGGGAAGGAGGATGGGGTTATTGCGCCAAATGCCACGGGAAGCTTCCTGGTAACCGCGCTTCATCTTCTGCGCGAAGGAGAGGGGACGAGTCTGCATGGTGGTGGCTTGGACGGTTCGTAGGAGAGATGTAGGAGCAGCACCGGTCGGCCGTGAACGGAGGATGGAGGGTATTGTGCGTGTCGAGAATGACGAGGATGAGAATGCATGTTGATGATGGCGATGTGCAAGGGTCCTTGGAATGGCGACAGCGCGCCGGGATGCTGCGCCTAACATTGTGGGATGTGTATCAAAACTTTCAGGTTGATAGCATCGAGCTATTCCTTAGTTGTTGTACGGACAAGACGAGAGACTCTGGAGCTGCGGAATGCGGAAGCGGGCCGGGACGGACAATGGATAGTCCGATTAGATCATCCCAGCTTCATGGCCGTCATAGTCACGTGCAAAGGGGTCGGGTCATTTGAGCTCTCGCGCGGAGGTCGTTTGACCTACAATTCATTTGTATTGATTGGCATATTTTTGGCCGCGACTGCTGAGCCTCCGGGTCAGAGGACCAGTCCTTCATGTGGACCTATTGAAGAAATCTTCTGCCATTCCCTCTCCCCTTTTCCCCTTAACGGCCACCATTTGTCTCGCGTCTCCAACTTTTGCAAAGCGAAAGACTGTACATCCCCGAGTATCCGCATAAGGATGGCCAAATCCGCCAGGCGAGGCCCCAAGGGCAAGGCCTCAGTTACTTCCTCCGCAACCTCGTCGGGAACTTCCACTCCCAGCTCGCAAAGTGGCCCTATCCCTCCGTTCGTTCGAGCACCGGAATCTTTGAAACCGCTCCTCGACTCGCTTTCTCCGCGCGAAGTCTACCTTATCCACGTCGATACCTGCCCGGTGGACGTCAAGAAACAAACCTTCATCGTTCCTTGTGCAATTAATGCCATCGTTGTCGGTCTCCTCGCTTTCCGAGTCTACATGGTCCGCAACATGTATCCCGCCATGATAGCAGCGCTGGTCGGGATGAACAACTCTATGACGGTGGACACAACGACAATGGACTGGGCCGAAGTTTTCATGGTGGCTCTGCGTCGCATAGGAACAGTTCTTTTTGATTACTTCCTGTTTACTATGTTCCTGGCCTGGCCTATCCGCTTCCTCTTCGGAGCAGTCAGATGGCGACGCAACATCGGCTTCCAGCCATACGAGATTATTGTTCGGCGAAGCCAACCTGACATGACTCAGGGCCTCAAACGTGATCGCTGGATCCGTGAAGACGAGGAAACACGAGACAAGATCGTTGCGGCGGTCACGCCGGAGCGTATCAGAAAGACGGGATACCTGCTTATAGATCAGGACTTCGACCTCGATTACAACGCCATGATTAAGGCTCACGAGATGGTTGACAATCGGAAATCGGACGATAAGGTCTCATTGGAAGAGTTCCGCACGGCAGTTTTGGTGAATACGGATGCCCATGGCTGGTTGATCTGGCATGTCGGAGATGAGAACGAAAGGAGTAACCCCGATACAATCAATATCCCAGCCGACCCGGCCCGATCTGCCCAAAGAGACCAGATCTTGGTGTTTAAGGACAAATTGACCGCCATGGGCAAGGAGGACCTTTTCTACCGGTGGGTTGAGTTGGTCCAATACGAGAGTACCCAGCCGGGCGGGTTCACGCCGGAAAGGCAACAGTCCGCCATGCTTCAGGTAAAGCAGCTCTTCGAAGAAAACGATGTCGATTTCTCCAAGTTCTGGGAGGATGTGGGTGGGTTGGAGGAGTTCACCGAGCAGCTTGATTAGTGACTGCATCTCCGCTTCGTATATGTATCTTTCTTCCCTCCTATCTGTCTATCCAATCTATTACAGGGATCTTGGGGAAGCGAGGCCCTCGAAATCGCTCGAAGCATACGATTTGACTCATCTCTTCGAACTCGCTTCCGCTCCATGAGATAAGCCGAATTGCGGGTGCCAGCCTGCTTTTACGTCTATAATGCACTGGCATACGCCTGCAAGGACTGCCAATAAGACACCGGCAAGGACAACACCTGCGGCAAATTCTATACGGCAATAGATGACGCAGGCTTCCGGTGACACTGCCTTGATAGCGGGACATTCGTTTCACCCTGATATTCGATTCCTTGCTTTCCTCTCTCTCAACTCCGTCAATCGACTTTTGGCAGCCGCCAACTTCACTTGACTATCGGTGCCAGAAAACTCTACCCAAGACGATCGCGTAGGAGTATTCGGACGGGACGGGAGTCCCGCCTCCCCCATAACTGGGCACCGGGTTTGGTACCTTGCAGCTGACTACAGCGACGGGCGCCGCGGAAACAAAGTGGGATTAGCCTGCGTTGATTTGCAGGAGGATGGTTGATGACCTTTCTTGGGGGTGGTGGAAACGTTTCACAATTCAGGTCTTATCTCTAGAATGTATGTTGTATACCGTGAGTATTTAAGGCTGTATATAGCCTTGAAGAGCGAAGGTACTGCTTACTGGACCGTTTTGAAATATGAGTTGCACACTTGTTCTTCTGATGATCGAAACATAAAAGCAATAAGAATACGGCTGTTAGCTCCAGAGTAGCATATACCATATCTATGGAAGTCAATGGCACAAATGCAGCACAATACCAGCTGCTGCCCATCGTCCGGCTAACAGCTTGGGCTTGAGCCGTCATCACTATCATTTTGCGTCTCCGTGGATTCTCTACCATGATTCTTATTGATTGATTTATTAATTTCCTTGTTCTGCTTTCTCAATCTCTTCCAACGCCTTCCGTATCATCTCCTGCGTACTTTCCCTAGGAAACTCCCGTTGTGCCGCCTTCAATCCATCTTTCCAAAGGCGCCATCTATCCATGTGCATATCTCGGCGCGGAGTTTGGTCCTCATCCCCAAAGAGCCGTCCAACCTGACAGTTCTCCCATACGCGCTGACCGGCGTATATATACCAGATACATGCAGTGCGTACAGCCTCCTCTATCAACGGCCCTTCCTCGAACGCTGATCGACACGAATAGAATGCATACAGAGATGCGTCTGAAAGATGGCAGAGGTATTCTACTCTTCTCGTAAGGTGCGCCATGAAGGCATTCCGGTTCTCCCACTCCTGAAGGTCACTTGGAGGATACTCCTTCTGGGGATCCTCATCTATCTGGCGGGCATAATCTGACGGATTTAGTTACGTGTTAACCAACAAAATGAATTAGGGGTGAAGGGGTGATATACCAGGCTTGAAATTGAAATAATAGCAATCAGTCAAATATATGCTCAGGTATGGAACCTCAATCCATAGCTTGAGATCAACAGCGGTTGGCTCTTCGCCTGTGACGGGGTTAATAACCTTGGTACGTTGTAGCTCGAAAATGAAGTCGATAAGTTTGTCCTGCTGATCTGCTGGAGTGATGTTCGCCGTGTCCACAACTTTGGTCATGGCATACCATGTATGATTACCATCGATATCAGAGGGGGATTCGGATTCCTGTCTCTCCTGATGTAAAGCCTCGCGAACGCGGAGGAGATGCTGGACTGCCTCGGCGGGAGAGACAGCAGGGTTTTGAACTAGCTCATCGATGACTGGATATTCTGGTCGGGGAAGTGAATCTTCATTGAGGCCTTCCATGGGGAGGGAAGGCTTGAGAGTAGGGTGTTGGAGTTAGGAGGCTGAAGGGAATAAGTGTTCCAGACATGACTTGAGAGGTTTAAATAAAGGGCGTTGGGGCTGTGTAGAAGCGGCCAGCACTAAGAATTGTTCAGCCAACAACTATTTCCAACACGCCACCTTCGCCGTCCAGCAAAAGAGCATGGAATGTAAGGCTGCCCCACTCTACGCAAAGTAAGTCTCCTCATCTGACAGGTGAATTTCATATCGTAAGGAGTAAGGATTCTGACATGATGCGCGGGAGGTGCCGCTGGCCTGTACCTTAGCCACAACCTCGTAGATCGCCCGGCCCCCATTTTCCTTATGGACCTGCTCGCCCTGCTAATCTATAAAGAGAAATATAATAGCATGAGACAGTATACGACCCGATCGATATCGACTCATCACAAAATCTTGCCTATAAGGCTTTCACCAATGCACCTGAGTACCCTGGAACTGGCAGCCAATTAGCACACTTGGACTCATTGTGTTTTAACACACCCGCAGGGCTGTACACAGTAATAGCTAGAGAATTCGAAGCACTTAAACCAAAACAGAAAGCACTGAACAATAACATTTAAATCGCTGACCCTAACACTCAAAGAGACTAAAAATCAAACATCAATCGCTCAACCACACAATCATGACACCTAGTAACCTCTCCATCTGCGCCATATGCTAAAACAAACAAATCAGATCATAAAAAGACAGAAGTTGTAACGACATCACAAATGTTACTTTGCTTCTACCTGCCTCACACCCACCTGCAACATCTTGAATCCCCACTGCTGCATCTTGAACTGGTCAAACACACCATACGGATCCAAGAACACCTTCGGGCTCTGCATCTGGCCTGCAATGCCCTGCCATCGAACCTTCTCATGTCCGAATGTCTCCCAATCCGTGTGAAGAATGACAGCACTGCATCCCGCGCATGCCGCCTCCACTGATTCAGCCACTGTGACCGACTCAAGAGACGCATTACTCGCACGCAGCGTGTTTTCCAACTGGCCTGCGGGTATAAACGGGTCATAAATTCCTACTTTTACCCCATTCCTCGACAAGTCCCGGACCAGACCCAGCGCCACAGAATACTGATTGTTGTTCTCCTTCGGGGTAAACCCCAGGATAGCAATCTTCTGCTCCGTGAGATCGCCGGATAACTGCGACAGGACGCGTTGGGAGATACGTCGGTTGTGCGAATCGTTCATGCGCAGGACAGCGCGCCAGTACTCTGCTACTTGCTGTAGTCCTAGCTCTCGGGCCAGATATACTAGGCAGAGAACCTCGGTCTGCAAGTGCGAGCTGCCGAATCCAAAACCGACTCGTTGCGGTAGCCCCAGGGTCTGGGTTATGTGGTTGATGTTGGCGTTGGTGGATTCGCAAATAGCGCTGAGCGAATGAAGACTGCTGATTTGTTGGGCGAGGAATGCGTTCGCGGCTATCTTGCCCAGTTCAGAAGACCATGCGTCCATAGTGATGATGCGCTCTTCTGGAACCCAGGGGATGTAAAGCTTCTTTAGTGCGCTTAATGCTCCGGGGGACATGTCTTCCGAAAATATGTGCCCGATGATAATGCGGGGAGGGTAAAGGAGGTCATGAAGGGCTGTGCCTGGAACTAGAAAGTCGGGGTTGGATAGCACATCGAATGAAGCGGATGGAGATGCGGTTTTTCGCAACTGCTTTCGTTAGAATGTTATTGCTATATAGGGGAGGACACACAAACAATCTTCTTCATTCGCTGAACGACACCACATGGAGCTGTGCTCTTTTGTACGATAATCTTGTGGCCAGTTGAGACTTGAGCAATCGCTCGGATTGCAGACTCCAACTGGGACAGATCTAAGCGCTCCTTTTCGTCAATCTATACCAACCATCAGCTTTGTCTTCCATTTGTAAGCGGGCATCTTACTGTTATAGTTGAGGATATCTCCGAACATAGGAAGATCAGGTCTGCTGCGGCCACGCCAGCGTGGATGTTGGTGGAAAACGTCAAGTTCGTCAGTTTCCTTTTTCGAGGCTGACCACTATCTGAAGCTATAGACTGATTCGGGACAGCCGACGCATCCAGACTGAGACTTGATATCTCCTCGAACAACATCTCCTCCAGCCCAGGCTCAAACACCGGGGGGCGATCGGAGTTCCACGCATTAATGAGATCCGCATCGTTGTCAACGACACTGAACTGGATGTGGGGATTCTGGGAAGCGAGTACAACCGCCGTCAATGCACCTGGCCGACATTAGTTATTCTTCTTCTAAGATACTGGACTGGAAGGCAATAGCAGCGCGCTTACCCACATGTCCAGCGCCAATTATACAAGCACTCCGAACATCCTCAACTTTCTTACTCTCCAACGGCTGAAGCTCGGTCTCATCCACGCTATCAGAGTAGGTATGACCCTTGACGACAACCGGCGGCTCAGCACTCTCGATTGTCTTATAGCGACGTCGCGAAAAAAACAAAGTTATACTCGCCAGGACGAAGAGTAGTGGAAAGAATGGCATCATGGCGGCACATCCGTATCATCAACTAATCAACAACTAACTGACCACCCTCTCTTTCTCTCTCTCTCTCGCTTTCTCTCTCTACTTCTCTTTTTTCTCTCACCCCTTAACCACCGACCGGGACACATATTCAGCAAGAATTAAAACAAAGAGACAGCGAGCGAACGCGTTGTGGGTGGTTTGGGCGTGTCGTGGCCAAAAGGGCGGTCTGGTCGCAAAACTAGCCACTTCATCGCGAGCCCTCATTGCCCCGAAAAAATATCCGAATGGATTCACGGTCGCACCATTGGACATGGGGGTTGTGTCCATCTACGTGGACAAGCTCGTGGCGCAACGAGAATCCACTCTGAACTACCACTACTGAACTGCATTCCACAGTTGATTGGAACAGCGGGTCTGGATGATGATTGATTTACCTGCTGGACCCACTCTCTCATTGAGGTGCTGTCCTATTTTAGTAAGGCAGCAGCCTCACTTTGTTTCTTCTTGGCGGTACGGGTTCATGTCAGTAAACTATTTTTAGTTAGTATGGATTGCATTTGCATGTGCTGCTTTCCAGGAAAATAATGTTTTTGTTCTTGATGCACAATTTCAATGACACTCATCAGACAGCGGGTTCAACGTGCATTGCGCAACAACGTGGGACTGGACTGCATGAGATGCGACAGCGACA